CAGATTTCAGCTCGAGTTTACAGAAAAGTGAACAAAAATCCTCCAGCTAGCTAACAGCTACTCATAACTTCTCTGTTTTAGCTCATTTTAGACATTTACAACTCAAATACAAAATATTTGGCGTTTTCCTTTTTAAAAGAAATGTTAATTTGTTCTCAGTTTTGTTAGCTGAACATCCTCTGATGGCGTTAGAGGTCACCTGTTACTCTAAGCTACGTTTCCAGCTGATCAGTCGATTGATACCTCACTTTAAATTTGTTTAAAGTGATTGAGGTCTCAACACTATTAACTGAAAGTGTTGAGAGGAAGATAAACTGGTACAGAAATGAGCTGTTATACAAGCTCAATCACCTTCATGCTTTAGTCTGGTGTTTGGCACCTTTAAACTTTTTATTCAGCCAAACTGGACTGGATGAAGCGCTGAGAAAACAAATAAATGTTCTTATTAACGTTTATGAAAACCAGTAAAATATTAAAAACTATCCAGACTGAATGCTAAGACAGCAGGAGGTCTGCAGGATTGTGCTCCTGCTTTTTGTAGCAGTTAATTGATGAGCTGCAGCTACAGTAAAAACCAAACACTGGTAAAAGTTTTTTAATAACACATTTTTATACGTTTTAAATCTAATGTTAAAAGCAGAAATGCTAATGACTGCAATGAGTTGATGTCACATTTCATCCATCTGCTTGTAAAAACTGAATAACTTTTACTAACTTTGTAACTTTGGTAAACTCTTAGAGCAAAAGTGCCAAACTACAGAATGTTTTATGTTGCTGCAGAGTTGTTTGCTTAAATAATATTTTATTAATCAAAGCAGTTTTTATCCAAATCCTACCAAATTACATCCAAATGATTTGATTTTAAGAAGTACTCATCAACTGCAGAAACAGCTAATTATTAATATTTTAACAGTTTGTCAATGGGATGAATAGTGAATAAAGTGTAGAAAAACTAACATTTTTCCATAGTATATGGATTCTTCCATACTGATCCAGACGTGAAAACCAGGCCAGCGTGGTTGGATGTTTAACTTGGAGGTAAAGTCAACCATTGTCTCTGGTCGATTCACTTCAACTGTGAGGTTTTTTATTTCAGTTTCTAAAATATTTTTTGGTAGTTTAAACTGGCCTATTTTTAAATTAGTGAGAATTTTAGTTAGAAATTTGATGACATTCAGGTAATCAATTTCCTAATCAGAAAATAGTAATAAAGAGTCATTTTTGTTACATTAGTAGAAAGCATGTCCCTTCATGCTTCACTGCAAAAACACAAAATCTTACTAAGTATTTTTAGTGCAAATATCGTAGTGCACTTGAAATAAGACCAAAATAATGTACAAGTAACTTTTCAGCAAAATATATGAGCTTATGTCAATAATTTTTGTATTTAGATTTTAAAAAGTAATAGTTCCACTTTTTTCCAGTAGTGAGACATTTCTTCTGTTTCAAGCAGGAAAAAAAATCAGCCACTAGCAGTAGTTATTTTTCCATCTGTATACAAGAACTACTGACTTATAACAAGCTTACTTATCTTTTTGAAAAGTTACTTTTAAGTTATTTTCATTTTAAGTGTACTAAGATATTTGCGCTACAAACTGGATAAATATTCCTGGTAAAGCTCCTCATCTGAAGCTCTAATCCTATATGTCAATGAAGAGAAAACGTTCATACTTTTATTTATTCAGATCATTGAAACACTCTGTTCACAGTGATCTGCTTTAGCTGCCATGTTGGACCGCTCTTGTAAATTGAGAATAGATGCGGCTTTAATCAGTTTAATTTGACGTCACCATTCAATATATTTCCATTAGCTCCAACAGGAAGCCAGTGGAGTGTCTGTAATTAACCTTATTAATCACAGCCCTCATTTGGAAAAGTCTCTGTGACCCCCACCCTCTCCACCTGACTCACCCACCCGTCACGCTCCCCTCCGACCGTCTGATGAGATTCCTCTGATGCTTCACGCTGACATATTCAGACTATTGTTCCGCCGCTCTGGGCGTCACAGGTGGGCCTCCATCTTCTCCAGCACAGAGCGCCGCTCCCTGCCAAGCCAAACCCCCGTTTGTCCTCTGATCAGGGAAGCTGGAAAAGGTTTGACCGTATTGCGGCGCACCTGCTTCACCCGCTCAGCAGACACCCCTCCGCCCGGCCCGGCCCGGCCCGGCCCGGCCCCGCCCCGCGCTGTTAAACCCGTAAAATCCACTGAACTTAGCCGCTCTGATGGCCGCAGCCAAAACAGCATCTGATGTGCCTTATTTGTTGACTGTGTGAGATTAGTTGCAGAGGGTACACGTCGAGGGGCTTACCATGCAGAGATGGAGCGGCGCCCCCCACCTCCCTCCACCAGACACCCACCAGCCTTGCCAAATAATGAGGAATGGAAGACGCTCCAGCTCGTTTAAAGCCCCTCGTCGCAGTCGGTCCGCGCACATTTGGCTCCCGGGCCAGGCTGTGGAGCAGAAACCTTCAGGAAGCCCACCGTCCGATCCGCGACAGGAAGGCGTCTACGAGACGTTTCCGTCTGCAACAATCTGCTTTTGTTTTCCGTTTACACAGCGAAACAGGTGTGCACACATCAGAGGAGCGACTGAGTGCCAGATCAAACTTTTTCAGTCACTCACCATTAAGATCGACTCGTTTCTGTTCTTTGTCTTCCTCTGTGTTTCTGTGGCAGATGGTCCTGCAGAATCAAGTTCCTGCTAAAACGGGAACGTCAGACTCATTTTTATTTGAGGTCACATCAAGAATGTCCTCAAAGGGCAGATTGCAGTGATCAAACAACCCGTCAACACTGCAAAAACACAGGAACTATAGGATATAGGAGCTTGTTTTAAGCCAATAATATTTGAATAGGAATTAAAAAGTTCTGGTTCCGCTGGCAGCACTTTTCACTTATAATGAGACATTTTTCCATCTTATAAATGGAAAAAATCTACCAGCGTATCTGGTACTTTTCTATTTAATGTTAAGGAATTACTGACTTAAAACAAGCTCTTATATCTCACTGAAAAGTTACTTGCAAGTTAGTTTTATCTTATTTCAAGTGTTCTGATATATTTGCACTAGAAACTAGAGCAACTAAAAACTAGTTTTTGCAACAAATAAACTGTTAAATTTCTCTGAGTTCAATTTTAAAGATGTAACAATTTTTAACATCTTTTCACATTATTGCAGTTTATACGAATAAAAACTAATTTGATTTGAGAGATAAAATGATACCTAAGCACTCAACTGTTATCTTAAGGTTCATTTAGTTCAACATAAATACTCATGGCAGGCCGGATTTGGCCCCAGGGCCTCGAGAACCAAACTGGCTCTGTTTTAGGAAGCTGACTATGTGACACAGCAATCTCTGTCTGATTTCTTCACAGGTTCAAATGTTGTAATTATACAATGCAAACATGTCAGAATTACTACTTGGTAAGGAGAAGAGGCAGAAATATCCAAGAACCATCAGACTGAAGAGCCAGATGAAATATTTAGTTCACACAAACCTGAGAATCATATTTCTAATAGCTCATGTGAAAAAAGTGGCCTGGATTGCTGTGCAGGATATTTTCTCCTTCTGACGTCATTATTGATACTAAAGACATAAAACAACTTTATTCTGCTGTTTTTTATTTGTTAGATCACACAAATTTCTGACTTTTGTTCAGCTGTCAGCCCACTTTATTAGACAGGAACGTTTCAAACTCACCCAAACCTTCAGGAAAAGTCAGATTAGAGCTCATCTCTGTTAAAGGTGATGTTGTTTCTGTTTAAAGATGTAAAGGATGATTTGAAGCAGTTATTTTTCTACCTTCATCTGGTCTAAATGTTCAACCCAGTCTGGATCCAGGAAGGTTCATGGTCAGATTTCACCTGGATGTTGGTCAAATTCATGCTTTTTCTATTTCACTTCAGCTGAGTTATTTTCTTTCAGTCGCCACCTGAAGACATTTCACAAAGCAGTTCAGACCCAGTTATACAAACCTGGTTTAAATCTAATACAGTTTCAGCTCCAGGACTCAAATTTTGTGCATTTTCTACTGATTTTTGGATCCTTTCAACGTTTTTCACAGTGCATGTATATTAAAGCTAAGTTATTTTATTGTATGTTTCAAACACTATAAAAATCACAAATCAGAACCGGAGACTCTGCTAACTAACTGTTCCTGTAAAGTAACAGTTTGCTCTCAGAAACTGAAAAATGAGAAACTGATGGATGAAATGCAGCGATTTTCTCTCCTTCCACTTTATTCTCTTTAGAAGAGAAGATAAAAAAAACTGTTTTCTTTTACCCTCATTATTTTCTCAACCCATTAAAACCGTGTAGGAACCCTGACAGTTGAGGTTATTTCTGAATATTCCAGATATTTTTTGCATATTTTGTGTTTTGATTCCACATAAATTGCACATATTTCAGTATTTGGCTGCATTTTCTTTACACATCTTCCAAAAATATTCAGTGAGCTCATCTTAGTTCCTGAAACAGGCATTAATGGATCTAATTTAGGGTTCGTGTTTGAAATCAGGTTACAGTAAGGACAGGAGCGGGTTTGGGGCGTGTGTGTGTGCGTGTGTGTGTGGTGGTGGTGAGGCAGTGGAGGATTCGCTGTGCGAGAGCTCCCTCTTGGTGTCAGTCGGCCTACTGTTGGTGGAGCCTCAGACACACAACAGTAGGAGCTGGGACTTTACAGGAACCACCGTTTTGTTTTGTGTGTTTTTTTTTGTTGTTGTTGTTATTAATGCAGCAAGTTGACAAGTTGATGCTTTACTTTGAACTTTTGCTTTTGGGAAAATCGTCTCTGAATTTCCCATAAATATGGAAATATTCTGTTTGCCACCTCAACTTTAATGCTTTTATTTCTTCATCTTTGTAAAACAAATCAGGAACCAAATGCTGTGTCGATCAAATTGAGCTGTTAGTTAGGTAAAATGTTTTTAGGATAAAAATTAAAAAAGACAAAGTATAAAGTGAAACCAAACTTTCAATGCTGTGTTTTTGTCTTTTCCAGGGCCGCTGTGTTAATTTCAACCGTGTTCCGCATCAGGTGAGCAGAACCACTGTGTGACGGCAACGGAGCTCATGGCTGCGGACCAGACGACAAATTCAGGGTTATTTTGGTTTTGCCAACGTTTCTTGCAGCTGGAACCACTACACGTTTCCCCGGCCGTCACTTTTTACACCGAGCTTCCTCTCTTGTTCTCACACGTAGATCTCTGCATCATACCGGCTGAAACATGTAATGTTTTAATGTTATTTTTAACCTCTAACTTATTTACTGCCTGATTCTGAATCTCTTTTTTTGTTTTGTTTTTTTTGTTTTTTTATAAAAAAAGAAGAAAAAAACCTAGCGCCTCAGAACTCAGCACTCAGTCTGTGTTAGCTTTTCATGTGCACCAAAGGCTTAACATATTCTGACCATATTGTGCCTTCTGAAAAAAAGCCTGGTTTCATGGACACAGACGGAAACTATCTATAAAAAAAAGAAAGAAGGGGGCTGTTTGCCTTTGGCGTGGAAGTCGGAATAATCCCAGCGGGGCCTTCGAAGTGCAGTAGTCCGTTTTCCTTTTGGCAATGTCTCATCTCGACTCTTCTCCAACTTCAGCGGCGCTGGATGCCCGGCGGCTGCCCTCTGACTGGCTTATCCTGTCATTTTATCACTGAGAAGTGCACACGCATGACAAATTGTAGACAGGACGCCCCAAGGTGTTGGAAGGCACCAAGACTTTGCCCTTTAGTTTTTTTGTCGTTGTTCTTACAGATACCTTCCTTTCATTATGCGCTCGGGACAAGGAAATTAATAGAGCGTTATCGGACCGCAGGACAGCCTTCTGAGCGGGACGCGTCTCCAGCTACGTTTGAGGGATTGATGCCTTCCAGACCTTGACATGGCGCTTGGTGTTTTCGGTTCAGTCTGCTCTCTGCTCAGTAATGCGTAGCACATCACGGCCGATAAACAGGCCTATCAGTTAGGACTTAAGCTACAGATGCAGCTGCACTCCCTTCGCCTGCGTCACAACTCGCCTGTTCCCCCAGCGCCGGAATATCAAAGTTTAATTAAAATAATTAAAGGCAACAGCAAGCAGCAGCCTGTGAAGACTTGGCTGTCTCTTTTTTTATGCCTTTTTGACTTTGAATGACCTATAACTGTGCAACAAAAAAGGAGGACACGGCGCCGCGGCAACGGTCCGCCATGTCCAAAACGCAAACCCAAAGCAACGGATGCGACGGACGGATAAGTATTGTTCATTTCCAGAAATGATGCCCCCCTTCCCACCCTGATATCCCCCCTGAAAAATCTGGGGTTATATATTTATATTTATTGTAGACTTCTCAAGCGCGCTGTCATGACGCCAATCCTAAATGATGTTAGTGTGAGCGGAAACACTGTGGGGGAGGAAAGGGGGCAGCTGAAGAAAAAGGCTCGAATGATCCAGTCACTTCGGATACCGTACTTCAGACGCAGAATGGATATTCGAGTCGAAACCTGACAAAGCGTGCCGGCTTTGACGGGAAGCGGTATAGACAATGACCAGTGGCTGGGTCAGTGGGATGTCTCCGTGCAAGCAGGGAAGCTTATCAAATGACACTAAAAATAAGTTCAACAACCATCAAGTTTGAGGGGGAATGGGTCTCACATTCGGGAGTACGCGAGACGGGGCGTCGGGCGGCCAACCCGCTCTAATTATTCCTTCGTTTGGGCGCCGTCCTGATTGGACGGACATGAATAATCCCAGGTCCAATCCTCGGGGTGCGCTGGTATTTCTGTCCTGATTTAAACGCTTTTAGCTCCTTGCATAATTTTGCAGGTTGACATTTAGTTGAGCGCCTGACTCTTTCTGAAATTTGAACACGTAGGCGGCGTCTGCTTCATGTTGCCACTAAGAGCGCAGGAATGCTGTTAACCTGGACTAATGAGGTATTTACATGGCAGTCACAACACGTCGCCCTCTGAGTGCATTATTACACATCCTGGTTACACCTAGTGCTGTTCATAGGAAATTAAAAGCAACAATAGAATTTTTTTTTTAAATTGATTGTGATGATAAAATCAATTATTTTTGTATTTTTTTTACCTGTATTTGTTTGAAATGCTGTACATCTGGTTTTTAATCAACATTTTCAATGTTTCTTAAATTCAAATTGAATTGCATGTTTGTTTTTTTTACAGTTTCACACAACAACCAGCTCAATAACTAATCAATTTAAGATCATTCTGTCTGTAAAAATGAAGGTTTTTGTATTTTCAGCACCTTAAAATTCAGACTTGAGTCACACAAGTTGGACGTGTGAGCTGCAGACTGAAACACCAAAAAGCATGTTTCTCTTTATTTCTTTTAAATGTTTTATTATTGTATTTAAAGCTTATTTCTGTTTTACACTGTTTTTTATTATTAAAATCTGTTGTGTCAAATACACAAACAGCAAAAAGCAAACAGAGAGTTGAGTTTTTTCTGTGGCTTTTATTAACACGTGTGTGCTGGTAGGGGTGGACACGCTGAAGGCTATCTTTAATTGGGCCCTTACAGATTTATAGGGCCCGACAGTGAACGTGATTATACTGTGTGTGTGTGTGTGTGTGTGTGTGTGTGTGTGTGTGTGTGTGTGTGTGGATGGAGGAGTGGACAGTGTGTAGCCTCTCCCCCAGTGAAGTCAGCTACCAGAGGCACCAAACACAAAACGAATCTGAACCCCTCTGAGGTTTCCATCGCCCTAAAAACGAGTTTTTAGTGAAATATGTGTACTGGTGCAAAGTGTGACAACACGCGACCTCAGGTGTGTGTCTGCGTTACACACACCTGCATACTGGACACTGCAGCCCAGCATTCATATCTCACCACTCACCAAAAAACTGGGTTTTCAGGTCAGAGAATTAGAATGAAATCATGTTGAGTTGCTCCACAAAATGAGTCTTAAAAATGACTGAAAACATGGTATTTGTTTTTTGTATTTTTAAGGTTTTATTTGTTTTGAATTCTGTGGTTAAAACTAAAAACCCATAACTTGTTTAATTTTTAAATCAAACCTTTGTAGCTGTAATAATTAAAAAAAAACTCACACAATCAACATTTCGACCTGGAAACTTGTAAAATATTGAAGCTTTTGCATTGAGGATCTATGTGATCTCAAACATGACAATATTTAAAAAACATTATTTGACAATCAAACCAAAATACAGTCACGTTCCAGTATTACAAATTACTTTTGGCAGACTGCTGTTAATGCTTTTTCATACAAAAATACATAAGCAATACACACAATTTAAAATGTCTATAAATATTTAATATTTAAACTCAAGTAAATTTGTCATAATTAAAACAAATATGTCTCACAAAACAAACTTTAGATACATGATTAAAAACTGAAATAACAGCAACGTCTCCACTGGTTAACACTCTGCTCAATGTTTTAATTCAAAAGGTAGAAGAAAAATGATAATGGCAATATGTAGAGATACTTGGCAGAAAAAATAAAATAATATTTTCAACATTAAGTGATCGGCTTGGACCATTTCAGCCAGTAAAGAACAAAATGAGAACGCTACATCAATACTTTTTATTAAAATCAGAAATACGTGGAAATAATTTAACTGTTTTGTGTCATTTTCTTATTTGTATTTATCAGTTTCACAGGCCACCATCACATTAAGAGGAATTTAACGCCAACAAGTCTAACAAAAGTAGAAATAAATACGTTTGTATGCTTGTCAAATAAAAGCAGCTCTAATACTTCCTTCTGAAATTGTTGCACTTCCAGAGACAGACAATTAATCGTATTAATCCCTCACAAAGAAAAAGGAGGAAGATGAATTTCATGTGTCGTTCTGGGAAAATAAGCAGTTGGAGGACGAAGCCTCTGTGGAGTTGTGAAGAAAATCTGCCTTGATTATTTTCTGAGAAACAGTTTTATTTTTTTATTTTTTTTTTTGTTTGTTTGGAGCACAATGATCCAACAACTGTCAGGCTCTAAAATTTGGTCCAGTTTGTAATCTTGTCAGCCTTTATTTTAATGACTTTAATCAAACATTTTGGCAGGTTTTAGTTACAGATTACTGAGGAGGTGGTTTGTCCGAGATCAGTTATTGTGACGTTCTGATAAATAAAACTGTAAATGATCCATCTGCAGTTAAAATGATTTCAATCTTTTTTATTCTGACAGTTTGTTTTCTCAGTTTACTTCCTACGTGTAACTGACCAGTTCACCTAAACCACAAATTTCCTGTTTAAATCTCAGCTTTGTTAAATTTCACTTGATTCGCTTTGATCAGTCCTGAGCTCAGATCAGCAGGGAAGAAAATATTCAGTGGAAGACTTTAGTTTTCATGCTTCCAGCATGAACTGAAGCAAAGTGTGTGATTCAGATGAAGCAGCTATTAATGGATGTGTAGGATCTGCTGTTTGGTTGTTGTTGTTTTGGGTTTTTTTAAGATTTATTGTAACCTACATTCAAAAAAATTAAATTCAGACAAGGGAATTTAAAAGTAATAAGTTAAATGAACAACAAAAAAAAAACCCACTATGTTAGAAATTGCATAAACAGTTTCACTAATCTGGTTAAGAGTTGGTAAACTGACTGTTAGTGTCACATTAAATTTAACTAATTTGGTTTTTGTTGGAAAAAATAGTAAAATAAACAGATATCAAACTGCAATGTTTTCAGATCTGCTGCGTCACTTTTATATTCTTGTTATTAATCTGATATAATTCAAGACAAATTTACATTTATCAGCACTCTAATGTTCTTTAATGTGTTGTTTACACATAAAACCTTCATTAAGCTAAAGAGAATGTATCAGTTTAAGTCCCACCTGTAAAAGAGCAATAAATTACACACTTATTGTTTTCGTGTTCAAACCACTTATTAAAAGCTCTCCACACCAAAACAATGCAACAGTGGCAAATAAGTAGAAAAAAGGGCCTAAACTGGATCTATTTTATCACTGAGAGAAGATATTGACTTCTACCTTTTGCTCTTCATGTTGTTAATGATAAATTCGTTGTAACAAACACAAACGGATTTTGGCATGAAAGTCAGAATGTTTCTGTTTCCACTGGTCATCCTGGAGAACGAAGCAGAAACATTTCTGCTGCTCCGACTGGCCCAATGAGTTCAGTGTCCAGATGAACTGCACAAAACATTTCAAGGTTTTATGGTTTAAAAACTTCTGTTATAATTTTTTAAATGCTGTGAATGGGACACCAGAGAAAGTGGAAAGATCTTGACTTTTCTTCAGCTGGTTAGAGCATAGAGTGAAAACACATTGCCCCTCACCCACCTGTTGCTGCACACTGCTAATTAAAAAAATACTAGTTGCATTGGCAGATCATTTCACTTCT